AATAATATCATTATAATTTGAGGATGCTTTCTGTTAACTGTAACCAACATATCCTTCACTATAAAAATATCCCTCGATAACCTCTCGAGGTCCCTTCCAGTCCTAGTATTCTATGATAAAAAGATAAGCCTTTGGTCTCTGAGTTTGTTCACCTCAGGATACGATATTTTAGAAAGGGAATATCTTCAAGTTATAACAAACTCCTCTCTCTCTGCTGGTTAATTCTTTACTGCTGATTCTTTTTAGGGGTTTTTGTTTGTTTTTGCACAAGCAAGAGACACACTTGAAACCAATAACAAATACACTGTGGCCTTGTACTGTAGCATACTGCTATCCTGGCTTTTCATGTTAACTAGGGACAACAGTAAAATATATTTTTGCAAACGTGTAACTGGTGAATTTTTCAGTAGTTACATGTTTACATGCAGGGGGCGGTGCTCTCAAGGAGCTAGTTTTTAAGGGAGGGGAATGCATGTAGTCATTAAGATTAACCAATGAGCCCATGCTTATCAGTTAATTGTGTAAATGATTACATGTAAACAACCCTAATGTTAACACATGTTGAGATGATATGCCATAGATTTATTACCTAGCTCGAAGCTTCTCTTTTTTAACACCCTTTAGCAGCTCTTGATAAATATAGGAATAACTGGAGAGTAGGGAACATCACGGGATGTGTTTTTTTTCTCGGGCCTGTAAAGTTTTATTTTCCATATCACGGAAGTACAGTACAATTTACAATAGGAGTCAAGTTTCAGAAACACTCACATTCAAACAACAGATTAGTGATAAACTGTACTCCAATATTACCCCCAAGAGAAGTAAGAGAAAAATCATCCTTTAACACAGATCTGAATTGTGTGGCTGATTTTCTCAGACTTAGGGCCCTACCAAATTCATAGCCATGAAAAATACACCAAAGATCATGAAATCTGTCTATTAGAGGGGGGTTGTGGTACTGCCACAGTCTTATCTGCACTGCCTTCAGTGCTCAGTAGTCATCTAGCAGCCATTTCTCTGGCTGCCCAGCTCTAAGGCCAGCAGCAGTGCAGAAATAAGGGTGTCACTACTGTACCTTGCCACTCTTACTTGTGCACCGCTGCTGGCAGCAGTGCTGATGTCAGAGCTGTGTGCCTAGCCAGCAGCTCTTGCGCTCTGTCTGCCCAGCTCTGAACTGCCACAAAATAGCCTTGTGACCTCTCCCATTTTGAGAAATACTTACTTTAAAGTGTTTATATTTTAAAATACATTTTCATGCTTTGTGATACCACCATGAAACTTAAGATTTAAAGATCTGAAACCACAAAATGCAAGATTTTTAAAAAGCTATGACCATGAAAATTTCCAAAACAATCCATGAATTTAGTAAACTCTACTCATACAGTAGCTGTATGCATTCCAAGGGACATGTTTTGTAATAAATGGTTATTATAGAATAGTCTGTTTTTCATTCCTCAGATTTAATGTTTCACAAGAATCAGGTACTCCTAATAAATAGCTAATATGTTGGTATTTGCTTTACTTTGTTTAATTCTGCTATGCATAGCAATAACATACTTTATGTAGCAGTTAGAGGCAGAGAAAATATGTCCAGAAATACTTCAGGAAACTACAATAAAACAATACACTTGTTGATAAACTGTAGTTTTTGGCTTAGTAGAAGGACAGCATATATCAATCACAACAAAAACAGGTGTAAGAGTAGCAGAAGACAAGGAGTGACATTAGAGAGAGATCAGATGCTTAGAGACCCTTTAAGATCTCTCTCTCAAGCAGAAGTTTTGATATTTCTTGTTTAGCAATTGACATTACAAACAGAACTGTAGACTGTCAATCCCAATTGACAAATATTTCTTCAATGTTAATTCCTTCACAGATGATTTGCGATTTCTTGCAGGTTTTCTCCTAAGACAACTGGTGAGCACTTTCTGTAGGCATGGGAGGTGGAGAGCCATTAAAGGAGGGCTGGGAACCTTTTTTGGGTCAGGAGCCACTAAGCACCAGAAAAATCAGTTGGGGGCTGCACACAAGTGAGAAACAGCAAAGCAAAAAAAAAAAACCAAATTCTCACCGACATGGTCCCCGACTGAGAAGAAGAAAGACACTCCCACCATTTCCCTAGCACACCAGAGGCTAGGGGGACCTAAGCTCCAGCCTCATGGGGGATAGGGACAGTGGGGAGCTCTGAGCCTCAGGGGCCATATCCAGGCAAGCGGGGGCTGCACACAAGTGAGAAACAACAAAGCAAACAAAAAACCAAATCCTCACTGATGTGGCCCCGACTGAGAAGGAGGCCTTAGGTTGCCACCCCTGCATTCAAGTTACATTGCACATATAAGTTCCCAAAGATCTTAGATTTGCATGAGAATATTTTCAAGGATGAAGACCCCATTGGTCTTTGTATTCAACTCATATCCTTCAAAAGGCACATCTTCTCTGGTAACCTGTACCTCCCTAGGAATGCCAGACACTTATAGCTGAGATAATGGTCTTGTGTCAGTTGAAGTTGTCATAAACCTACCCGCCATACCTGTAACACCAAGCTCTGCTTGGAGGCAAGTGTGTGCTACATGCTGTCCTTTACTAAACAGTTATTTAAATTCCTCTCTGCAATCATGCAGAATCTTGCCAGGGAATGTTCTCATAAATCAAAATGTCATTTGCCAACAGCAACTGATAGCTGGAGAGTCTCATCTGCAAGCATTCAGGAGAAAAGTTTTTGTATCTGCAAAGATTAATTTTCTGGGCACCCTGTTACAGGGGATAACTTTTCAAAGGACCATGGTGTCATCCACTTTCAGCAGACTGCAGCTACCACAAGGACCCCAGCATAGAATATGAGTAAAGCATCTTAAATCCAGAAGGCAGGATCTGGTACCAATGCTCTGCACATTTTCATGTAAAAACTCCCAAGGCTGGTGTTTGCCAGAGCAGTTTTGCAGGATCCAAAAGGCCTTCTTCAAGACAACTTAGCATACTGGTGTGCAGGATGTCCAAGAGCTTGTGATAACTATTCCTGGATCACCTCTCCCAGTACCTGCAGCATGTTTGTCTCTGTTCTGAGCAGTTCTTGGAAGAACTTGTAGCCATCAAGTTTGAGGATGATTATGACTGAAGCACGAGAAGTACCAGGGGAGGGTACATTAAGATCCTCAGACCAAAGCTCCACATCATGGTCATGATCCAGATGCTCATCATTAAATGAAGGTTATGGAACAGTTTTGGGTTC